CAGTGACCGGACTGCCAGATAACCTCACTAGATTCAACAACAATTCACTGGCTTTGAAACGTGATTATTACCTGCTTTCTGCTTTCTTTTCCTAGTCTGTTCTCGCAACCATAACTCTTGTTTAGACTATCAGTTTTCTAGGTAAACTCACAAAGTACGATACATTTTACACCAGGTTCGATAGCCCAGGGCACAAAGTCACTGTACAGTGTGGCTTGAGTGCAGGACAGTACAAATTATTCAGTTACAATTCCAGCCGTTTATAGCGAGTCGAGTCAGTTAGCTAAACATATGTAAACTCATTTTGATTATAGCCGAAAACCTATAATATCATTAAAGGTTTTGACTTACGATAGCACCTTAATTAATGTGGGTTATGAACATTGAAATTCGCGTTGGAACATCAAGACAAATTTTGTCGTCATGAAGTGACGACTCTGGTAGTCGTAGATATCATACGGCTAACAGGAAATCTAAGAGTACCTGATAATACCGGATCCAAACTGAAATGAACAGTTTGCTACAAACAGCTTCGTAGAGTTTGTAAACTCTGATCGATCCTGTTAGTTTTACTGTGCAACAACACTACATCCACAATCAGTATGATACGTTGTTTCCTGAATCATCGTCTCAGCTTACTTACTTTGTCTTCAAACTTCTTCACTAGAAGATACATGCACAACAATACTCACTGGCTACGTCGTGTTCGAAGCATTATAAGTGTGGTGACTTGTGCGTGATACTATACAGGGTATTTTTTTCGCACTTAAGTCTATATGCACATCTACGTAGGTTTATATAGTTGTCTTTATTTTCTATGGCTACCCATTCACTTTCCATGCAAGCATATCTTCATCTTCGTCATATCAAGACATGGATGCAGAGTCGTTCGAAATAAGATATCTGCTCCCTTTACATTGAAGCCAATCACACTCCAGTATGCTGATATGCTTTCTGACATTTGAGAGTATCGCTTGACTGAGTTTCCTACATTCTGAAAGTCATAACTGCACCAAATGAATAAAGAGGTCAGAATTAATTTCTGTGTTATTAATAGTCTAGGACCCGATGAAATTCAAGGGAAAGTCGTTTCTGTACTAACTGTTTATTTTAGGTTCGGCATTAACTTGCGATTATTGAGGGATTTGAAAAAACTGAAGTACGTTGATACAATCGGTTCTGTTGAGTAAATGCTAACTGCAACTAGCGTACAACACTTCAAAACCTGACTTTCTGACACGTACGGGATAAATTACAGTGAAAATTGTTTATTCGAGCTAGAACAAGCATTATAGAGTGGGTTGGTACAACTTTGCCTTTACAATCACGAAAATATAGCCTTCGAGTCTCCGAGCATTTTACGAACGAAAAGCATTGGCAACCAATCGAAAAAAGGTGCAATTCATGAAGAAACCTAAATTGTAAAAAACCGGTATTTTTACTAATAATAATAATAATAATTTATTCTCAAAGAACAGTTTGTTACACGAGGTATGCCAATTTACAGGCAAGAACAAATTTATACAAATGATACAATATACACTGTAATAAATTACATAGCTGGGTTAATAATTTATAAGATATGAATCTAGATGGTTTTAATCAGTACCACAGTTGGCGCGCTTCATGAAAGTTGCGTTGCGAATGTGCAACTGATGGTCAAGGATAGGTCCATTGAAGGTATGAGCTTTTAGAAATCGCAACCTTACGTCCCTTTGGGATATCCAAGGCTTTAAGGATGGTGAAGGATGAAGTCACCAGTTCCATATCTCAAGGGGGCTGAAAGAGGGAGCAAGTAAAAGAAAACACGAGAGGCAGAGTAGCCAATATTCATGAAGGAATGTTTAAGGTATGATCACTCAGTCTAATTTTCTTTTATTAAGGTATATGTTAAGAAAAAGCATTTTAATAGGCAAAAGAAAATAAGTGTTAACAAGGTGTGAGTGAGCATACAACTGACAAATGGGGGCAATTCGGAAAAGAGCTGAGAGTATAAGACTATGTGTGATTATAAAATAAAAAATAGTGCTAGAAACAGTATTGTGATATACAATTGGCAGTCTTCCTTTGATTGTCGAAGCTATTAGAGCCCCTTTTGTTTTTTTAAAAATATTTTTCCACCCAGTTATTATAGGGTCTTGCGTAGGCTTCGTATATTAGCGAATTGTCTAGCTTGCTTGTAATAGGATTTCTGGGTAGGAAGTGAAACCAATTCAACGTTCGTAACACGATTTAAAGAGGTATTTTGCGTGATATGTCAGCATCAATACCATAAGTTCGAGACATCCCATTAAACCATAAGGAGCCGTAATTTAAAAAAATGTTCTGTATGCCCACAAATCACATCGAACTTAGCAAAGCGGCTTTTACAGCAAACTAAATTTTTTAGTCATCTGATGCAGAATATTTTGTAAGGCCAGTATAATTTCAGTGGGTCCTAGCAAAGTGATGTGCAGACAGATCACTGTGTGTTGATCACTTCAACGACTTTTGTTAAGATCAGGGGTAACTAGTCCCCGCCATCCAACTCCATCTCATTGAAAGATGGATGTCGCAGTCGATTTTCCATGTACGTCTACGACCGAATAATACTCATAAATTCTGTTGTCCGTTGAAAATATTCACTCAAGCCAGTCACTCCGGAATTCGATTCACATGGTCATCACGACAGCGCATCAGGTTTCAAGTATTAGCCATGAAATATAACTTGAAGCAAGCTAGGAGATCACACCATTCACACCAAATTCCAGAATGACTGAAACCACGGACACAAAATACTTAATTTGGTGAGTTCCAACGTTAATAGCCATTGACACTATAGAATCCAAAGAAAACCTTGTAGTTACATTTCGTGTCTTTTTATTGGGGTTGAGTAAGGCATACGATGTTACGGATTTATGAACGGTAATAATTGGGCTTCTCTAATACGATCGCTTAACTTCGTAACTGACAACAGTCAATTATGCTCAACATAGCCGACCAAGACAGCTAAAACGGGAAAAAGATGGAGTAGCAGATAACGTGATATATGCAGTGGAACAGGCAACTCAAGCGAAATTGGCACGAAGATGGTTACTACAGTAGCAGGATAAGCCCCTCGAACATGTGGCAATTTGACGAACTAAAAAACATGACAATCAACCAGAGGGCAAAGTTAGTGCGGAAAATCGAATTGATAGAAAGACGAGATCTTAGCCCTTCCAATAAAATCTGACCATTCTTGCAACCACTATAGGTTCAACATGATGTCATCCGTATACAATTTGACAATGATACCTAAGCCTTTCTGTTTAATTCACTCTTATAGATTATTGTTGTCATGGAAAAGAATTAGCTTTGTTGTCGATATGCGACACTTCATCTGCAGTGGGCGTCGACTATCAACATATGATGCAGGACACCACCAACACAGACACGCGAACTGTACTGGACGCAGATAAGCTCATTTTCATGAATTCCTACGGTACAAACCAACTTGCTCCAAGCTGTGACTTTTTCACAAACCTTCAAACAACTGCCTCCAGCAATAAACACCACAAAGATGGCAAACAGCATAGTGTCTTTAAGACAATGTAAGAGAACCTAGGAAGAAATTGTGTGAGATTGTATACAAGTGTTTTCAATTGGAAATGAAGATCACATCCTAAAATGCCACCAGGCTCTTCCGACGCTGTGGACGATAAAGTAGGCGTGCGAACAATTAGCTTCGGAACTAGGCCTGGCAGTGATGCACTCATCCATTGATTCGCATTTTCCTCCTAGACTAGTTATACCTGATTCATGTCTCCTAAGTTGTCCATCATATTCATTTTCCCGTGCCATCAACTTATTTCTACTATTCTTCTTGCCATTTCCACCATCGTTTGTCCTTACACTTCGGTTTACCAAAACTGTCTAAATTACCAAATTAATCACATATTATATCAGCATCTTGTGGTGGACCACATAATATATGACTTCAAAAATAGTAACAGAGTTATTAAGTACGAACAGTTATATATATCAGTTAAACGTTATAAACACAATAAAAATTAGAGACGTTACTTAATTCGGCTTAATTGTACGCGTTCAGGTTGAGTTTGGTACCAAAATCCACAATTAAAGATGATTGGAGGTTCCTGTAAGATTGACGTCCTTCTAGTGATATAACCAAACGTGGAATATGATATAATTCGGTTGTAATTTATAAATGTAGATGGTACTTGATTTAAAGTTCAGTTAGCACAATCATGAGCAATGAAGAACAAGAGGTATGTGTATAGCAGTGTATTTGTTAGTAGATAACAGTGTGTGTCATGCTATGAGTGTAACACGACGGAAGAAAGTGTATTCAAGGTCATACACTTAAACAACTCGTACAATCATTTGATGGTAAATGTACAGGCTATGAAAAACTAACAGAATAAATACAACTAACATTGAAAACTATTTACAAAATAAGCTTGTCATGCATAACTCTACATAGCTCCTCGCAGAGTGTCCGGAAGTAACACTGGTTATAAAAACAAAAAAAATTGTAAGAGCATTTATTGTCTATGCATGTATGTAAAATAATATTTACGATAATAACCAAAAAGAAAATACGTGGAGATGGGTATGACATCCACGTTATTAATATACAATATATTAGTGTACACGGTAGCATGAATGTAGCGTAGCACAACAAAAAATTGAGAATACGGTCATTCAATGTCTTGGTTTGTTAATAGTAATGACGTGCAAAACTGCTAATAAACCCACAAAAAATTGGATTGTTTATTTTTACGTGCAGTTATTAAATAATCAACTAGAATTTACCAGTATATTATTGTGACAATTAAAAAAACCGTGATAAAACGAGTAATTGTGATAAAAATGTGATTAATTATATACACGTAAGAAAAAATAGTATATTTTATCGAGCAATTGAGTGAATTTGATAGTGTGAGTTTGTCATGCCTATCTCCACAATCTGATTAAAGCAACAAACGTATAGTATGTTGAAATTTGTCTTGTTTTACCGCATCCAAACTCCCTGGTAGTTGGTTTATTAGATTGATGACATTTCGAAAATGGTCGTTATTCCTCATTTAAATATTTGAAGTGGACTGTATTTGGTTGGACAGATATTTGATGTAGATGAGTTTTTGCATAATTTACGTCCTGGTTTTCAGTCCTCATTATTTACAAGGAAGATAGGGTTGGAAATCGGTATGTAGTTTGTGTCATAAAATTTGTCTACATTGATGAAGAAATACTTGTCAAGTAGTTATATAATCATTTCATGTCCCACGTAAAAAGTGCACTAAAGTCATCTTGATGCTAAGGATCCTATATATTTTTCAGAATGATTGAGTACATCTACACAACAGTACACCTGTAGCAGATCAGTACAGTAGTGCGAAATCGAGGCAGTCTCTCAGTCTTAGGTGAAATGATGAACAGGAAGATAGTTAAGTAGGTTTACTTAACTGTCAGATGAGATTTATGTTAGTGAAGTGTTTTTTTAAAAACTGCTGTATATATTGTCGGTTTTGCAATCTCAACGTTTGGATGGCAACGAGGAAATTGCTAGTTTATGAGAAAAGTATATATTTTCGGGAAGGTAAAAGTGTTAATTTTGTGACGTTTATTGATTGGATGAGGAAATCGCGCACTACTTGCATCGGTCTGGGGAAAAGGCAACGTTTTGATGCAGTGTCGTCTATATTAATACGGGATACTCTTAAAAATTTGCCTTTATTTACCCATTTTTTGTTGCTTAGGATGACTGATTCCCATTAATGTTCTAGAAGTTTATACAACAAATGAAAAACCAGTCTCATATATCGCTGCTTTAAATGAGACAACAATTTATAGACGACCTTTGAGCAAGCAAATTAGTGAATGAGTTTCCGAAATTCAAGACCTGCTATCTTAAATATGTCTGGTTCGTCTGGCCTCATCACTAATTTCAAAGGTACTCACCTCCAACAGCTGTTTATAAGAAGAATCAGTCTTGTAGGGGTAGTCATATTACAACTACTGCATGCAGTTAAGAATACAATCTCTGCTTGTGGTGCATGCAAACATTTGAATTTGTTCATTAACACTAGTTAATATACTTCAAGTAAATACGGGCAAGGGCTTAATATTGTACTGTTCCCCATGACAGCAGTTCACCATCTACTCTTCATGTTAGTTTGTCGCTAAGGAAGTTAACCAGTATTTATTATCTCTGTTATGAACACGTGTACACCAACTTATTTCTTAACGCCCGTTTCTTGTTTTGGTACCGTTCCAGGTCTTGCGATATTCAGTGGGCGTTATCCTAGCCAGGTTGCCTAGTGTTATCATTGATCCTCTAACATTTCATCTTGATTCGGATTCTTCATTGTATGAATTTATTAAGTTCCCTACTAAATCATATAAATGGTACGTATTCCTACCTATTGTTGCAACCTGATCTTGTAGTGTTCACGAAGCTCGAGTGACAAAGATCAAAAATGTGTGGTTACGTAGCTAAAAGTCATTCTGTTTCATGTGACGTAAAATTTCATCATAGAATATCATTTTCGTTTCTGAATTTCATCACTACCTAGATGAGTTTCGTTATAGTTCCTCGAGGTTGATGGTATAAAATAATTTATCCTTGGAAGGTGCTACCTAGACACTAATGTCATGCTTTACTTATAGTATAAAACTGGTTTCAAATTCCTGTCATATAAGACAATCTTAATTTGGATATACTAGGCAGGTTTCTTAGAATCTCACTTGATAAAAAATGTCTCTAACCATACATGTATTCTTGGTAATGTAATTTACGCTTTTTTAGCTGACTGAGGGTTTCAGCTTAACATCTACCAGATGTGTGTTTCCATTATTATCTCAATTGCTAAAACTGCGTATTCTGTTGTTTAAACCTTAGGAAACTCGGAAGTTTTTAAATCTCGATGGGATATAAATAAGATTTCTTAAGAAAATTGTGGGATTCTTTCACTACTTCCTAGCACTAATTGTTTCTAAGATTTGTTTCTACTAGGGAAAAACTGAGCAGAATGGTACCATGTAATCTCTTATTGCTTCTTACTTTTTCTAAAAAAGATGGGTTGTAATTTCATTGGTAATCGTGTTCCGTCAAAACAGTATCGTTGATGCATAATAACGGCATATATTTCCTGAGTTCCACTTACGGCTTTAAGGATTCCCAAAACTATGATTTTAAAGTCGTTTAAACTTATGAGACGTCACAGAAATTCCATCGCGATGAATGGAAGTGACTAGTTGGATTGTCGATACTATGGTATATCCAAAATTGTCCAATTAGATTATTTATATCAAATAAGCACTCTATGAGGATGTTCTATCTTCTACCCAGACAGGAGGCTTTTGTCAACTATGTGTTTTTTCAAAATAATATACTTAAGCTCATTTTCCTGGGTCTTTTATAACTCGTCCATCTTTATGCATGTTCCTCATTGAAATTCCTATCCTCAAGATTTAATTAATGATGTGCCATTTGTATTCATGCTTTGTAAACCGTCCATGTGTCTTCTACCTATATTCTATTGAAATGTTACAGGTGCAATGGCTTTTTTCAAACTTGTTAGTTATTTTCCTAGGTCATCTTAACAATGGAAAATGTGCGATTTACAAAACTAGAGAAACAAAGAGAACTTCTGCGCGACAAACAAAGGCAAAAATATGCACACCAAGTGTTGTCACTTCAAAAACGTACAGAAAGTGCTGGTATCAGTAGTTGTAAAGCTAATAACTGGAGAGAAAACAAATTATCAAATCAATCGGCTGTAGGTTTCCCAATAAAAGATAGAACTGATGAAAATTATTATGGTAAGTCTTCTCAAACAATTGTCATTGTAAGCATTATGAAGGTTCAACCAATGTTTTGCCGTAATTTTATCCTAGTTGTTGTTGAGTGATGATTTATCTAAATTTCTTTCAGCTGCCAAATTTTTCCTCGGCATACTCTGGATGTAACATCAAAAGTTCAGCGACGATTTGGATGAGATTGAGAGGTTTTATCTAATATCGTAAAATTGCTTGATATCTTTCTTTCCACCAACTGATTCTCCCTTTACTATATCCTTATATTCAATCTTTCTTTTATACATTACTACCATTGATGTGATTACTTCTATGGATTAGGTGTTCTTCTTGCTGTGCTAATGAGGTGTGGCAACTTGGACAGATGCATATATGTGCTTGGTCCTACGTTGTAGCCGAATGAATATTTGTAACTACTAGTTAGTAAAACTCCCACTATTTTAATAAAAAGGTACGATGCTTGTGTTGTGGGGTCATTGATCTGGGATTAAATTGTAGTAAGAAGTAACGACGTGACTGTTTAATAACACAATATCTGTTTATTGTAAGATAATACAGAATCAAGATTTTGAATTACATTACATCATTATTCACGGTGTCTGTTATTCATTGTGTGCTTTTCATTTACTCAGACTAACATTTGCGCTATTTTTCGACCCGTTTGACCGTCTCTTTCTTTCTTGAGTTCCTTTCAAAACATGGTAATTTTAACTGTTTTCGGGAATTTGACCTTTACAATACAAATAAACCGAGTGATCATGTTTTCAATTCACGTATTTTAATCTGCTGTGCTAAATTATAGTTATTTTTGTTAGACTACATACATTTCTTAAATTTAGTGGAAAATTACGTTTAAGTTTATCAATTACTTTTGGTTTACTAGTCTTTTAAAGCAACGATCTTTTTGTTGATTAAGTTAGTGACATTTAGCTGGAGGTCGTTTATCCCAAACAGCTTCACAACATAAAATACTTTCATTCACTGTTATAAAAGCCTAGACTGAACTTCTGTTATAACCGGTGGTAGAACGCGTTTTAAATTAAGTTTAATAATATTGACCAATGCTACTATATTTCGTTTCAGTTGTTAGTCTGTTTTCCTTTTTATCTCTTCTACACTTATCAGTATAAACTACCGTGAAGTTCGATTTGAAGATCTCATCGTTTCGATTTAGTGTGGCTTTAGTCCGCCTATGCTCAAATTAATATTTCACCCTGTATAAATGTTTTAGCATATGACGGTCCGCAATCAGGTTATACATCAAACCCTGATGATTTCCCTACAAGTGAAGTTCAAGTTATTCATGTACTCACAAAACCTACTCCTTTGGGACAACCAAGGTTTGATCAAACAGTAAGGCGCAAACCAAACTCTGAAGCAATACAATATAATGTAGTGGATAGTGAAGATTACAAAAGTACTGATAGTTTGAATAATCTAACCATCACACGATCGAGTACTATGTTGTCTTCTCTTGACCAAGATACCTATCTGGATTCTACTGGTAAGTTATTCAAATTACGCATAACTTAAAGCTCACAGTCGATGATATTGAAGTTTTTTGGGTAAAACACTTAGAAATGTGACGGAATCCAAAATAGATAGAATAACATATTTCTAATGTGGTTTCCCGGAGATTTTGTTCAACTTAAAGGTGATTTTCATTACAGGTTGATCATTTGGAGTAGATTTAGAGTACTTTGTGATATTCGAACTAAAATTTGGTACATTTCTTAGTTTTCTGTTGCACTAAATCTCTCGAGACTTAAAGCAGTGTAGGTAATCAAACTAAAGCATAATTCTAACTCATAAATTCATTGATTCCTTGTTTCAATTTTTTTAGACACTAGGGTTCCTAAGTGATATAGAAAAGAATATACAATGCAGGTTTAAGACATGGCTTACAAACCACACCAACGAGACAAATTTTAGATTTAAAAACTGATCATATAAAAAACCTAGTCGTTTGTGTCTTCTCCAAGATTTTCTTAATATTCCAGTTATCTGATTTCTTTTCTTTTTTCCCCAACAATTATACTCATCTTCTAAAGCATCACAACAGATAAAGTATTTTACCATTGATTTTGTCGCATGGAAAAGCTATGTATTTATTTATTTGAACACATAAATATTGGTACAAGGGGGCACCAGATATATATGCGCCATACAAAACAATGAGAATGGAAAGAGAAAAAGAAGGTAAGGTGCGTATAAGAAAAAAAGAACAGTAACGACCACAGATTAATGTAAGGTAGTGTAATAATAATAATAGTAATGAGGGAAACGGAAAAGTAAAATCAAAAGAAGTCTTTCAGTTAAGGAAGAGACAACCATTTTTTATAAAGAAAGCAAAAGGTTACAGAAGGATCGCCACTGGCTTCTATTCTGAGCCATATCTGATAACGTCTCTACCCACTGTTGCACTATCTCTAGGACCCCAGTCAGGGAGTCGTGAAGAACCAACAGAAGCAAGCCCTTCGCAGCTTTCTTTCATACCACAACACCATGTCATACACTGACCACCTCTCCGCTTTTTCCAACCAGTCCCAGAGTCGGCAAATAATGCATGACGTGGAATTCTCAGGGACGACATTCGTAGAACATGTCCAAGACACCAAAGTCGGTGTTTCAAGATGGTGACACCAATCGCATTATCGTCTCTGCGCCCGAACACACGATTCCGAAGCTCCGCATTACTAACATGGTGTTGACACTGGATGCCAGCAATACTTCGGAGACAGCGATGATCGAACACAGAGAGTCGTCTAACATCCTCTACTCGGGGAGGCCAGGTTTCACAAGCATAGAGCAAAACTGCTCTCACCGACGCGTTGTAGATCCGACCTTTTACAACCAGACTGACATCACGAAGGTGCCAAAGATGGCCCAGATTGGCATAAGCCGCTCTGGTTTTCACTATACTTGCATTGATCTCATCAGTCAGGTCACCACCAGCTACCTAGATACACGAACTTCTCAACTACTTCTATCTGCTCATCATCCAGGGTGAGTACAGGACTAGAATCCTGCCAGTCTTGTCGAAATACCTTGCAGTTCGAAGGTGCAAAGCACATACCATACCTACGAACATTGATTGCCAACTGATTAATTGTGGATTGCATGACGTGGGCATTATCGCACAGTAAGACAATATCATCCGCATACTCAAGGTTGAGACGTTTTTCTCCAGGCAACAGATCCACACCGCCATTACTTACATCCATCAGAGCTGTTTCCAGAATGTCGTCGATGGCAAAGTTGAAGAGGAATGGTGAGATTGGGCAACCCTGCCTAACCCCACTGCTTGAATGGAACAATAGAGAGAGATGGTTTTATGTGCCCTCACTCTGCCTGAGGTATCTGTATATGGGGCCTTTAAGATGTTAACAAACTTCTCAGGTACACCCTTCTTCACTAGACAATCCCATGGAACAGTGCTGTCGAACGAATCGAAGGTAGTCCTGATGTCAAGAAACACTACGATTGTTGGCCTTTGATAAGTATGGCGGTGTTCTAACATTTGGTGGAGGGTGATGTTGTGATCAATACATCCTCGACAAGAACGAAGACCAGCCTACTCTTCGCGAGCCAATCATTTTCGGGGTTTTGTACAACCTGCGAAGTATGACAGAAGCTGATAGTTTGGACGCAACCGGAAGTAGACTTATACCCCGATAGTTGTTACAGGAACGACGTTAGCCCTTTTTAAAGATAGAGACAACTATCGTCTCATTCCATGTCGTTGGAACACTCTCTCGTTCGCAGACCTTTGTAAACAACACAGTCAGTTCCTTAGCCAGAAAGTCACCACCATCTTTAAAAAGGGCTGGAGGTAAGTCATGTCAACCCGGTGATTTGTAGTGCTTCAAGAGTTGGAGTTCGTTGCGGACTTCCGCCTCATTTGGTGAATCAGTCGTTACCGGCCATAGAGGGCAGGACAGTCCGACCGATGTTTCCGAAGCAGCAGGCCAGTTGAACTACCCATCGTCCAAGACGTCGATGGATGTTAGTGATTGGCATCTAGTCATCCTCACAGATTGTTTCGCTCACACCAAACTTCTTGCTGCCAGTGGATCGGATGAGTTGGAAAAGCTTCCGATAGTTACCATATGCAGCTGCTGCTTCCAGCTCATTAGCACGCTCCGACCACCAGGCCTGAAGAAACCCAGTGCTCACAAGCGGGAAGTTTCGCGAAACCGCAAGCGACTTTACTGACCATTTTCATAGCGTCATTCAATCGCATCCAATGCTCATCTATACTTTTCGGTGGAATGCTAGATAGCCTAGAACGTAGCTCGATTCGATACTTACTTGCAACAGAAGTTGCGACCAAATTGCTGAAATCGATCCGTTTAGGAAGATGAATTCGTTGGCCACTGAAAAGTAAAGTAAGATTGCGCAAACAAGGACATGATCACAGCTCATTTAAGTACTCTAAAAGGAGCGGAAGTCTTGTGCACAACCACGCCAGCGGTAGCTGATCGTTATGTGATCAATCCGAATCCAGGCTTGAGATACAAAGGGAGGACGCCAGGTAGCACGTCGGTGATGGCTGCGCCGGAAGTTAGTGCTAGCCAGAAACAGGTTGCCGTCTGTGCACAGTTGCAGTAGACGGTCCCCGCTATCTGTCCTGTGACCAACAAGTCCCCATCGGCCACCTAAACGACTATCTTCTGTGCCTAGACGCCCGTCCTAAGCATTCAAGTCTTCGGATAGTATTACAGTATCTGTCGAACTCACTTTCTGTAGAAAAACTGTTAGGTGGTTGTAAAACTCATCTTTGTTCGCATACGGGCTGCAATCTGTCGAAGCATATGCGGAGGTGACGAAAAGATGTTGTTTCTCACACCGACGTCTTACTTCGATAGAACTTTCTAATCAAACAGCACGTAACTGACTGTTAATGGGGATCCAATCGATTAGTGCTGCCTCAGCTCTAGCTCTTAGTGCGACACCAACGCCAGCAAAACCAGACGTGGATACCACAGGGTCCCCGGATAAACGCACATAAAACGAGCTTATCGAAGCGATAGACGAAGAGCAAATTTGTAGTACTTCGCTAAAGTCTTGAATACGGGTTTCGGATAGACAACAGACGTCGATATTAAGACTTTCCAAAGACATAGCCAACCCTATCTGCTGCCCGATCTGCGTTAGTGTGCAAACGTTGAAGGAAGCCAGTTTGAATGGTATACGTGATTTCATAAAAACTGCTTCAGTATTCGTATTTGGTGGTAGCATACGATTTTCAACCAGGCAGTGACTCGAGAACGTTTAAATAGAACCGAGTTTCCACCATAAGCGAGCTGCTGTATAAGTCGAAAAATAAGGATGCATCAAGCGGAAATAAAAGAGAGTGAATAAATGACTAGTAAATAATAATAATAATAACAATAACGTGTATCGTTTGACTGTTAGTCGAAGCAAGTATAGTATTTTCCGTAAGTATCGTCCTTTCATTCTGTTTGTGTGTAGGCTGTGATACTGCCCGGGTGCCCAAACCAAAGCAGGTGGTTTTCTTAGGGGACCCACACCCCGGGCCTTTTACCTTAAGATCTGACCCACAAGGCAGTGAAGTATCGTCAGGAGATGCAGTCCCATGGTAGCCCTGACGAACAATTGGTTCATACGCTATTTTTGTCCCCTCAGGATACTGGAGCCTATGTGCACCATTGGTTTGGGATCCGGTTAAAGCGCCGGACATTCGCTCTTCGTCCTCTCATTTTCGTAAACAACACTTCTTCCACGAGGAGTCATTGAGTAGGACTTCCCTGTCGGAGGCTGTGTACGCGTGGCCACGTGAGAGCATTTCGAGTTGTAGGGCGGGCCCACCTCGCTTTCGGCCATACCAGGGCATTTGGGGGCGACAAACAACATAATATTCAGAAATGTAACGCCAAAAAGGTTAGTGGTTCTCCTAAATTCATTAATTAACAGTTAAAATAAAAATATATAGGCTACACAATTCGAGAGACGTAGAAAAGTTAATAAATAACTTCAAAGTCCAATCAGATTACTTCTTTTGTAGACGAAAAATGTTACCATTGTAATCTGAATTTTTAAGACTTCACTGAATAGTTTGTAACCTAATATACAGTTTTCCTTAGGTTTCCGTTAACTCCAACAACTGTATTTATCGAAATATTTGTAAAAGTTCCTGAATATTCCTGAAAGCTGATAAATCATTCATCCATGTAGTTTTTGTAAAGCTTATGACACATTTAGTATTAGTGTCCCACAATAAATGCATCAACTAACTATTTTTTTGCTCGTTAACATTATCTTTAGAATAATGTAATAGACAAGGATCTTTTCGAAACATGGAAATATCCGACAATTTCCCAGCTTTAGATGCGTTTTCTATTCTGCTTTCATTTTTAGTAATCGTTGATTGTGTGATCGCACCGTAGTAATGAAATCAAGAAACTAGATTTTTACACAATTTATCACGGTTTCTCTACTGATCACATTTTTAAGACATTAAAATTTCTGCTAATGCATGCAAATCAAATAGCTAGTCTCAAGGCGAGTATAATCACTTAAATTTTATAATATTATAGGAACAAAATATAAATGATTTGGACTAAGGAATGAGAATGGAAAATAATTAGAAATATTTATGACTAGTAGATTTATAATTTGCTCAAGTTGTTGATAATTTTTTTCAAGAAAAACAATAAATTTGGGGTACCTAGCCTGTCGTAGTCCCTGATGGTGTTCTCATAGCTTTCGGGTTGCTTGATCTGCCAAGGGCGATGAGACGGTGCATGATGCTACTGTTGTGTGCTAGGTTCAAAGAGAATTGCAAATCCGTCCCGTTATTGTTCCTATTCTCGACCGTAGCCGCTATCTTGACGTGGTGGTCGGGCTTGCCTATCGTGATGACCCAACCGAGCTATATTGGCTTGAACATATGTTCCTGTAGGGTCTACCATGCCAGGCAGGTCGATTGGAGAACGGTAAGATTAAAAGCAGCAACTCAAGGTCTGAGGGCGAAGTCGTACTGCTGAATGTAGAGGGGTGTGGCAGCAGTAAGGCGTTTCCTCCAGACAACCAGCATCTGCAGCAATGCTGCCTTCTCACAAGAAAGGAGGGGGTTAGAAAAGATCGACCCTAAAAATGTCACACCTTACCTCACGGATTTCCGTCTCCGTCGGTAAGGCCCTTTGAAGAACGGAGCTAACACATCAAAAGCCTCCCACAAAAAGACCGTGCGCGACCGGTTTCAAGCAGTTGTCCCCTGGGCTCTGCGGTCAAGCTCCATAATCGTTAAGACCAACAATAATCCATCTTCCTTTTCAGGTTCCTCAAGAGATACCCTTCTACGGTGTGGGCAACCGGAAAGTGACATCAGCCCTCATACCCGTAACAGCACACGAGACCAAGTTGGTCACAATCAAATCCTTCGTACACCTCCTAACAGCTCTATTATCTCCATGAATATTTGAGCGTTATTCAGCTCAGTCAGTCAGCCAGTATCAACGTAGAACTTCGTACGTACGTACATCAGTTCGAGTTGCCACACCACATTAGCACAGAGATGCAGTTGTCGATCCAAATCCCATTGTGGTAGAGGTAGCAAGAGTGTAAGCAGTGATCGGGAAGATTAGGGTTTGGAGATGTTATTTAAAGAGTATAATTCAGTGAAATAAATTTGGAAAGAGGAACAAAGGGACATGAAGAATTCAGAAGATTAGAATTTGATGGAACACAAAGAGTGGATGCACCTGTGCCATTGCAAACGATTTTGAGCCATGTCATTCAGGGTCTCTAACCATCGGTTGCTATCATCTCGCGGTCCCCAACAAGGTAGTCTACACCTAACAACATGACTCAGTCCACTTGTCCGTGATTTCATGGATTTGTGCCATGTTTTGGTCTGGCCGCCCCTAGCTTCCTTCAAATCTACTCCTACACCACTGAACATCACAAGTCGAGGCAGTCGGTCGTTGGGCATACGTAACACGTGTCTCAGCCATCTCAACTGATGAAGTTTCACCACGTCATCAATTGATTTGCCATCCTTACCTAGTACCCGTTTCCTAACATCTGCATTACTTACTCGATGGTCCCAGCATATAAGAGCAATATTTCGAAGACACCTATGATCAAATACTAGTAACCTACGAATATCCTCTACTCTTACCGGCCATGTTTCACTGCCATAAAGTAGGACGGAACGAACTGCTGCGCAGTAAACACGTCCTTTGGTTGATAGACGGATATCTCGCCTATGCCATAAATGACGCAAGCTGGTAAAAGCTAGTCGAGCCTTCTGTATCCGTGCTGAAATTTCGTCACACACCAGACCACAAGGTCTGATGAGACTTCCAAGATAAGTGAAGCGGTCGACACACTCAACTACTTCACTCCCTATCACTAGTTCGGGTGTCGATGTAACCCAGTCCTGAAGCAACATTTTGCATTTCGAGGGAGAGAATCGCATCCCGAACATGCTTGCATTGTTGCTTAGAGTGGTCAGAAGACTCTGCATTTTGTCAGCGTCTTCACGAAATAGAACTATGTCATCAGCATATTTTAAGTCAACAAGTGAACCTCCCGGTAGAAGTCCAACCCCTGTAAATTCAGCTACCATTAGGTGATATGATGAAGTGTTACTGCATCATCTAGATAATTACCGAACACTTGCTTGGTACACACATAATTTATTTCTACTTATCGAAGGGCTCTGTTGTAGCAGTTTAGGTTTCTACACATGAAAAATCATCACTCAACTACTCTATTCTTTATACATTTCTGGCTTAATGTTTTTGATTGGTGCTTCTGGCTGGGATAGATCCATGATTGCTTATTGATTTTAGGAGGTTTATAGCCTCTACATTGCTAATATGTGATTTAATTATATATTTTAGAGATTTGAATATTGACAAGTTAAAGGATTTTGTTTTAGATTACCATATGTATATTCATTCCCTGAAGATGATATCAATCTAGTCAAAATACGACTTTAGCCACAAATATATTAATGAAAGTGTTTTGATGTGTACAGAATAATCCAAAATACACAACACCTATATTATGTCAGTGCAAGTTTTCGGGTTACATATATTCGGGAAAAAGTCTCTGAAAATGATTCCATTGTCGAGATCAACTTTCATGAGAATTTCACGTCTACATCTTACCATAATATGGCATGGTACCTTCTTGTACTACGAAAAAGATAGAATGTAGACCTGATGCACAAATCATGACCAACTAAAAAGTATCAAAGAAGTTCACAAAGGTGTGCGTTATTTAGTTGATTATCAGTAAAATGACCAGATTGATTAATGTTTCTCAGACATTTATTAAGGATTGTTTGGAACCAGTGTATCTTCATATACGCTAATTATTTTCACGAAGTGCTGTTACGAAAAGCTAATGTTGAAAATTATTCTTTAATGATGAAAAGTATAAAAGTTATGCGTCGGTTATCTTATCACCAACCTATTGGTTATCATTTAGATTCTAGTTCTAGAGTAAAATGTAAAATGAATATAAATGATCTAGAATTTCACTTTAAGTAGCTGTTCACTCTACGTTCTTTTTAAGTACATAATATACACATGCCAGATCTCAGGCTTTTTGTGTTCGTTTGATCTTCACTATTAGTACTGAAGTCTTTCTCGGTATATCGTACTTGAATTTTCTAGAGGATAATGATGGGGAAAATGAAACTGCGGTGTCTCACTCTGGTTTTATGACTCAGAAACAAGTAGTGAAGATATCTGACAATCCCAATAGTCATCTTCATAAGGATAGTTATGGCGGAGTCACGAATTTTACCAAATACAACAGCGAAAACCCGGATACTGGTAATAATGCGAATTTTGTTGAGAAGGTTAGTCCTGTATATCACATACCAGTTTTGAGTTTATAATGTAACATGAATATTTGAATTTTTCTATTTAAAACAAAAGAAATATTTATGAAGCTGATTGGTGCTTTGTGCGATAGCAATGGTAATGGAAACTGTTGTATTTTCTACTTACACCGAGAACGCTACTAACATAACTCACATTAGATATACAGTGACACTGATTTGTTCACCCGAAAATTCTGTCCCGAACTATCAGCGAGAACAGCATAAAGCTAACCATGTACTCAGGCTTAAAACTCACACTGTGCAAGTTCGCATTTAATGCGTTGAATGGATTAGGATAATATTAAAATTCCACAAATCAGTTGTTCAGAATACATGCATTATAGATATATATCCTGAACCACACAACAACGTGTTCCATAGTTTCTCGTTTCCATTTATACACCCATTTATAAGAGGCCCGTTCAATTAAAAGCCTACTTTACACATGACGATTCAAAATATTACTTATCATCCTTAAATAGCCACCAATGTGGTTTCCGTTAATACCTTTAATACGAAGTTGTTAAGTTTGGCGAAGTATCTGATGTTGTTCACTGAATCAAAGTTGATAATTTTCCCATCTCCACTTTGTTTCCTCATACTAAGAATTCTTCACAAATAAATTATCTTATGTGTTAACGCTGAATCTTTAGATGAATCAGTACTGAAGGTGATTAGGGCTTTCCTTCTCACAGTAAAATGATTGGTAAAGCATATAAATTATCCGCATATTGTAAAGTTAGTTTTTGATGGAATTTATTAAGTCACCTCAACTATATTTTGCAGACTTTGGATCAGGAGCGTAGTTATCAGAATTCTCGTAATGGCCGAAAAGTCCATGCCCCACTAGCTGTTCTCGTGAATCGGTCGAATACATCTTTACTTAGTGGTTCTTTGACAACTATGCAATACGTTAGCAATGCCATTAAAGCGAATAAGTCGAATGTCGAACAAGTCTTAACGACCCTTGAAAATTCTTTAGACTTATCGGACAACCACTGCCAGAAAGCAATTTTAACCCAAATATTGGATCTTGATGTGAATCACTCTGGAAAACCTAATGTTAGGAGATCTTGGGATTCTTCTTCAAACATGGTAACATTTTCAAAATAGGAACTCTGCTCAAACTATTTCACTACCCTCCGTAAGATATAGTTCACAAATGAGAGTATAATTATTTCACTGTCATCTAGTTGTTGTAGTTTTCTAATGAGTCTCCAGACAATCTGTGTACAATATGATGTGAAATAAGGAAATTCCGACTCATAAAATACTTCATATTGACCTACTAAAATCTCAAAGGCTATTATTGTATTAAGTTCATATGAAAAATTGTCACACTTCTTAATGACCACAAAAGGCGACAGTTAATTGGATACAAAATGAAAAGAATTAGGGTTATTTTTCAAATAAGTGATTCATTGAGGAGCTGTTGCCACTGATACGTCACATCATGTATTAAAATGTTTTCATCACTGAGATAACTTTCCATTGTAAATTCATGCTTCACCGATAATGTATTGCCTCACCAATCTGACTCGCATAACAATAGAAGTCCATCGAACTGTTCGCTAAACCTCACCTAGCATATGTTTCGTGTATCCTCTGTATTTTAAAAACTGAATCGACTAACGATACAGTTTACGTTTTTTGATATGCGAATCATTAGTACCTCAAAGTAACTAATTATGTTGTCATTCGTACCACACTGTCTTTGGTCGTTTACTAGAAACCATTTAAATATGAAATTAAACTTTTTAGGGAAATTCTTAATGTATAGTTTATAGATAACTGTTAAGTTTGTTCTCATTCTCACTCATATAGAAAAGTATAAAGTTTTGTTTTACCCATGTTTTGTGCCAAATTAACTTTATTTTTATTCAAAATACTTTGGTTCCAATCCGGTATACTAATCATTTCATACTAAATGAATTCAGCCTATTTTATAATATTTTGTGGCCTATTGTAAAAATGAAGACAAAAAAGAATTTCTATAAGAAATTTCGATAATTATGACACCTTACCAATATCCCACGTTTGCATTTTTGCTTTAATTCATTGCTTCCTTAACGTGTAGTCGATTTTTGAGTACATTGATAAAAATGAGTGTATAATGTTTCACGTATTTAGACAAACGTTACTCAGGAATGTGAAGACGTAAAGTATGGTGAGGCACCTCAGTCCTTACTTTTAGATCCAACTAGGAACTTAGAAGAATTCATCATGAAACCTGCTCCTCAGGTAAATGTAACAGAACTATTTTATATTGTCAATTATCCAATTATTTCCAAATTGCCATTGTTATGTTCAATCATTCAACTTAGCTACTGCATATAGCCTATACACATAATCGTCCTAAACTGGGAAGGAAGAGAAAAGGCAGTACTCTGTAGAAAGCCATATTACTAACTAGATACGAGACAACTCAGATGTATTTAGATAAATTGATCCTAGAATTGACACATGGGTATTGGATTTAGCTAAATAAATGGTAGACTTACTGATTGTAGGTCACTCCAGCTTAAATTGGACTTACCATATGGCTTTTCTGTTTTCATTTATAATTATGGACCAGAGGTGGGAAAATAGCGGTGTACGAGATTAACCGTGAAAGCTGCTAAGTATGAGATAATTTGAACGTGACACTTTTTACTAAAATCTTGAAACATTTTATCCGAAGGACTTATTTTGCTGTCTCAAACAAAATATGTCCTGAATACAATGAACCAGTAAAAAACTACATATTCATACTCATTTTATTGATAATGCGATACTGTTAACGCTGATAATTGTGTAATTAAATGTTAGTCTTTTTAATGGTTGATGCACTTCAGTTTATTAATTGAAAATATACTAGCATTCTGTATGTCGCCCCCGCCTGTTCTACCTGTAATCATTGAATCACTTTACAAAAACGTATGCCCACCTCTATAATGCATGCTTCACTTTGGCTTCCAGAATTTTATCATTGGGAAAGTTGGTTAGTTAATTGGAATCAGTTAAAATAAAACAACACTTAAAAGTTGACTTATATTACCTTAATATTTGACAAGGGTAATCGTTCATTACATACTAGTTATTACAACGTTAACATATACACATGTGGTAACTATCATACTATTTTGTGAAATGATGAACTGTTACTTCTGAGCTGCTAGTTCTTCAGTCAGTCATAAGTAAATCCAATAACATTGTTTCAAATTCTTTTAAGTTGAACTTTCACTACCATTTCTTACAATTTAATTGATGTATTATAAATACCATGACTTCTGTTTGGAGTCCATTTTACTTTTTTCTGTACATAGCTCATGATCAGTAATACAGATTTATTTTAATGAGCAAAACCTGTTCAATTTCTCATGCTAATAATTTCAGTCCCAAAAGATACTATCGTATCTGATTCTCCAGAAATCTTCAAGTTCTAAAAAATAAATGATAATTCTCAATAACCGCACTAGTCCATTTTGATTCTCTGTAGTACTGTGGTGTGTGTTACTTATATTGACATAAGTAGTATATGGTGTTAGTTGTGAACAGAAAATCTGGCAGCAGACAAGAGGATCGAACAGTAAAGAATGGAAACAAAATGCAATTTGTATGAAAATGCAAGAACAATGAAGTATAAGTCACTTTGAAACAATTGGTGGACATTTCGCAAATTAAGCATTTACTTTATGATTGTTAGATTTTATTAACAAGTCCTGTAATTTTGTGTTAAATACATTCGGTTGTCCCCACCCGTGTGGATTTTGCCAACTTACGTCACCTTTGGCGAAGGCGAGATATCCGTCTATCTATAGAAGGACGAGTATACTGCGCGGCAGTTCGTTCTCTTTTACTTTACGGCAGCGAAACATGGCCTTTAAGAGTAGAAGACACTCGTAAGCTACTAGTATTTGACCACAGATGCCTTAGAAATATTGCTGGCGTCTGCTAAGATCATCGGATAAGTAATAGTGAGATTAGACGCAGGGTATTGGGGAATGATGGTAAATCAGTTGATGAGGTTGTGAATCTTCATCGACTAAGATGGTTGGGCCACGTGTTACCTATGCCTGAACACCGATTACCGCGACGTGCAATGCTAACTGGTGTAGGGGATGGTTGGAAGAAAGTTAGGGGCGGCCAAACCAAATCGTGGCATCAGTGCTTGAAGTCACTAACTTCTAGTCTGAGCCATGTTGGTAGATGCAGACTACTTGGTTGGGGTCCGCGTGATTTTCGTAATCGATGGTTGGAGACTCTTGGTGACATAGCTCAGAATTGATCACAATGGCGTCGGTGTATACACTCGCTGTCTTCCCTTAAACTAAGAGATTAAAATCACTTCATATCTTTCTTTTTACTAACTAATTATTTCTTCCTATACTATATCCCTATTGCAATCTTTCTCCTATATATTACCACTTTTGACCTAACCACTGTTATGAATCCGGTGTTCATCTTGCTGTGCTAATTAGGTATGGCAACCTGGACCGATGCACATATGTACCTGGTCCTACGTTGTAGCTGACTGACCCCACCCGTGTTCTTTTCATTACAGTACCACTTGTCTTGGGTGTATATATGAAATTTTTGATTCATTTCAGGATTCTCGAAATAACATTTTATCGTTTGTAATTCAGAAGTTGCTTGTATCTTAATTTCCAATTAATTTTTTGACTTTAAAGGGTGTGACCATACGTTGTCGTATTACACGAGACAAACGAGGTGTCGATCGTGGAATTTTTCCATCATATTATCTTCATCTTGAAAAAGAAGCCTGTAAGTTCTTCTTACTTGCAGCCAGGCGTCGCAAGCGATCAACAACGAGCAACTATGTGATTTCTTGTGATGCCACCAATTTATCTCGTGATGCAATTAGTTTTGCCGGGAAACTGCGCTCCAACTTTCTGGGTACTCATTTTACTGTGTATGGCTGTGAATTAAAATCACGAGATAGTGAATCCTTAAATTCAGGGGATAAGGTAAATGATTCTGGTTCGACAACGACAACTACTAAGACACATAATATGCAAGAGCTTGCTGCAATCATATACGTAAGTTTTATTATCAGTACCTGTAGACCTAATTACGTCACGAATCCTAGAAACTGGTTTTTGATGAGCAATGGCGACCAGCAGAGGAGTAGGTCTATAGATGCTTAGGACCTACCAAACAGAAAAATGGGATTAATCCATAAATCCGTTGACTGTTGGAAGTAGCCATGTCAAGTGATGGAGGTTCCAGGATAGATTATGTGAATTTCTCGAAACATATGGGTGGGGAACATAGATAATGAATTTTGATTGGTTTCATTTGTCTCATTCCTGTTATATTCCGTATGTTTCGTGTTGTCGATTTCTTACCGCTCTGTGGACGAGAAAGTTTGGTAAATTGAGCGGAAATACATTGAGTCAAGTTCTCATTATATACCTAAAACTGCCTTAGTAAGCCTGTCACAAATATAACGGATGATAGCGAAAACATGAACTTGAAGCAAATGTTAAAAACATGACTAGCAATAATGTACTAAAAGCCTTCTTTGAAATTAACATAGATGAACACTTCTGTATCCCCATTCAGATAAAAAGATACAGTGAACATTATATCTATTTTTCTAGGTACACTCCATAAAGCAGCTTTAACATGCGAATTTCGTAAAATGACAGGATATTATAGGTAATACTTCAGTCAATAATGAGTAACTGGTTATTTACTTGTGTACGTTTTACGAATGTGTATGAATGAAGAAACATTTTATTAGCTAAAACGTTAAGGTTAAAATGGCTGAGTTTTTCAAAAATTAAGTGCGATATTGTCTAAAACGTCTTTAATAATGATAATTTTTGCCCGATTAAACATGGAGTCTACTATCAATAAACCAGCTTTCATTCCACAATCCTGGAAATGATTTTCTTGATATTGTACCTTTACTCATTTTTCTCAGGATACAAACGTACTGGGTTTCAAAGGACCAAGGAGAATGACTATTATTTTGCCGCGCTTAAGTGCTACTTGTCAGCACTTTTCATGTCCTGGAAATGTATGTCCTTAGTCAATATACCATTTTTTTAAACTCAATATCGACATAATATTTTTGTGATAATAAAGTTTTGTGCAGGTTGTCATGCTTAAAAATGACACTATTAGCATGCGAAATGTCTGTCATATTGGAATAACCATTCTAGAGTTAGCTCTTTCAATTCGTAATCTGGTGTCGTTAATTTGCCTTTGCGCTGAGCTCACTCATTTATATTTAAATGGTGGTTAGTGTCACTTTTTTACCACAGTCGGTTAGTATGTTATAGCAACGAGACATTCGTCGTCGCTGGTGCTCGATATTGCTATGTATTGTTGATTTTTCTCTTTACATGAATATAATAATTGTCTAGTCACATCTCGTTTATAAATACTTATATTGAAGTTCGAAATTATTATCTCTGAATTTATACTTACTCATGTATAAACGTATTCTTATTCAGTTATTTGAAAGATATAACGTAATCGATCTATGCCTATTTTGTTCAATAATCAAAATTTAGTAATGAGAACTGTAATTCTAAGCTGAATTGTACGCACTTATTTCTAAAGCAGTTCATGCTTCAGTTTAGTTCCTTTTTATAAACATCTCCGTTGATTCATCAAGCGTGATTTTCAAATTAACAATAACACTATGGCATCTTTAATTAGCAAATATTCCTTGTTCATTTAGGATACTACCTGGCTAATCGACTCATGGCGGAGAAAAGATATGCAGAACGTTCTACAACTACAAAACAAGAATCCTGTTTGGAACGAAGGTAAGGCAACATGTATATTGATTCGTCCTTCAAAACGGTATTGTCCAAAAAACGGAGCATAGTTCTTGTTTATCGTTTACTGGCCTAAAATAGTAGACATTTAATTTCTTGTTGGAAATTAATCGTGATCCAAGCAAAAACAAACTGTGGTCTGTAATCATAAGAACGACTGTACGATTGGACATTTCTGAGATATAATGTACTTTATGAATAATGTTTACAAAACTTATTTATGAATTCTCTGTCATAATATAGTAGTAGTGTAATGTTGTGATAAACGCTGTTAACTGTTGGATTTCAGTCTATTGTATACGTGAAATGAAATTCAATGAGTCGTTGACCACCTCAAATATATCTGTCAGTATTTGTTTGTATACAGCAAAAGATATCATTCAGGAAATCAGTAAGTGAAAAACAAAGACCCCAAACTTTGCGAATCTGTTTATCCAAAAGGTATTTTCACAGCTGGCATAAAAGTGTTAGCTATTGGAGTCCGAAAATTGGATACAGTAAATCATCACTAAATATGTTGAGCGTAATAGTAATGTTCTACAGCATCTTTTCAAATGGCTTACGCGGCAAAGTATTCCCAGTCTGTCGAGATTGATTGACTATCGTCATGATGCTGTAGAATGCTCACCGAAATCTAATGTTCATATTCAGAGCATTTTTATGACATGTGTGTCTTTATTCGTCGTTTTCGATATAGCTACTGATTGTATTGTTTGTCATTCAGGTAAGATTGAAATTCTTTCGTGGTAGGTTCAAGTTCGTAGGATTTCAGATAGAAGTAACGGAAATGTACAATTTCTCTTACCACTTCAGGGGGGCATTTTATATCTTAGTGTACATGAGAAAGGTTCGAATGGGTCAGAACTGACATCCAGAATATCTTTTTCATTTCAGATTGCTATAATTTGTGTAAGGACTGTTTCACCCTCGAAAGTCCTGTACAAAAGTATGTTGATTTTTTGGATGACTACTACTACTCCCGGATCTCACTTGCGTGTCAAAGGGATGTCAGTAAAACGTTATGGTCTGGGTTTTTGTGGTAGCCGGTCGTCTAAACGGGTTGGAACTTCATTTGCACCATTCAAATTCACTTTTTTCCCACTGATGGTTCAAAATTTCAGTTGACCAATTCTTCGATGAATCATTAATCTCCCTTAAACCACTAACAAACTTGCGCTTCCATTTTCTCGTTTTTGCAGAAAGTATGTCTGTTGGATAAAAGTTGCACTTACTTAGCTAAGGCCATAAAACTTTAGCTGTTTGTAAGTAATTCGATTTAGAAAGTTATATTTCCTGTACAACGTTGTTAGGACCGAATATGATCTTCCACCGTGGATTTGCTTTATTTAGTATTCCTTCACGTTTTTTCGTAAAAAAGAAGTTAGTGGAAAAAAATCTGCACGTTGTTTATCTCATCAGAACTAAAAACCTTTTATGTGCTTTGAAATGCCAAACTGTTTATTGGCCAAGTAGATAATCGATCTTTTAAACTGTTGTCATGAGATATATAAGCATGTGGAACAAATTTTCATGTCTTTGTGAATGTCCTTCTTGACGACTATATTGTTCTAGGATCTCTAACTGTAAGCAAAAAGCAATCCTACCTATCGAATTCTGATTGCAACTCCCAAGTAACTTTGAGAACTAACGACTGAAATGTTTCTCCAAGTTTTTTAATTGTTCGAATCTTCGTGGTAAACAAGCGTAGCTGGATAATAAACAATAACAAGATAGTCTCTAAATACTTGTTCATCGTCATTTGTATAGTTATATTAAAGTTATGAACATACTAGGTAGCATATTTGTATGCAGAATGAGTTATTAAAACTGACCGATGTACATATGTGCCTGGTCCTACCTTGTAGCTGACTGACTGACGGTCAAGAGTTATTTAAACCAATATTATGCTCTGTGGGGGCCTGATATGCGTCAGTTTACAGGAGATTCAAGAGCTGGTTGTTACTCCTTGATTTATGAGTGGATCTCCAGAAATTTGTAATTCCCAACGTATCAATAGAAACATGGACTGTGGGACCCTCCCTGATACTTTGCTGAAAGCAACATAAGATACATACGCAGATTCACTGTTATCTAGGGACTTCATCTCCTAGTGAGGAACGAGTTGTTCTACCGTTTTTATAACGATATGATACGCTGACTATTAATATTTAGGGTTTTAAGATCACAATAGTTTTTCCAAAGGAACTATTTCGTATTCCGATATCGGTGTTCCCAAGTCACACAGTATTTATATTGATGGGTGATGTCTATATCCTATTTTATGGTTTTGAGTGACTGTGGTATTCCTTTATTCCTGTGATAAATTACCCTTATGAAGAGGTCATTTCATCATTGCTGCCCATTGAGCAGCTACGTACATCGTAATTTAGACTGTAGCTCATCTAGTCCTTATTTACTCTCCTGTTTACATATAGCATACTGTCTTTAGTACGTTGTTCCTATTAACTTCCAGAAAAAGTAACATATTCTTTACAGTAGCTTCTAGATTGTTTTAGGGATTAACTGGTGATCCATCGAACACGATGCGTCTACTTTTTAGGATTGACTTAGATGCTCATATTAAGCAACAGTATTAAGAGTACCAACAACATAATGGTATTCGTCTTTTTGAAACGGTCGGATGTACGAAGAATCCGGTCACCAAGATTTCCAGTTGTCTGAAAAAAAACACTGGAGCTTCAAGTGATTTCCAGCATATCAGTTCTTTATAAGTGCAACAGCGAAGAGCTGGAGCTGTTTGTAAAGACAACTTCGAGAGCGTCCTAAAAACTATCTGTGACCTACTGAGCAGAAATCTATATTTGTCGGAATTTCTAACAAAACCTACACCTATAACAGAAACTAAGGCGAAATAACTGTCTACCTAAGAAGCCTCTGATCCTTTCATTGTTGTTCAAAAATGAGTCAACGAAACTGTACAAGTTTATCCATCGCACCTCTAAACATCACGCATGACGGTCGGGCGGAGAATAGTAACGAACAATAAGAAACCCTATCCTCGCATACTGTGTCATTAAACTGAGGCAGATGCTTCAGTCAGTAACAACGTAGAACTTCGTACGAGTTCGAGTTGCCACACCACCATTGTGGGGCGTCTGAATGTGTGTCTGTGTTCTAGAACCTGACGTAGTGTGAATATCTGATCTATACAACCACGTCCAGGTCAAAAACCGGCCTGGTTTTCTCTAATCTGCTCTTCACGAGCTTTGATTAGGCGTCGAAGTATTATTGAGGCTAATATTTTAGACACTATATTAGTCAAACTGATTCCTCTGTGATTGTCACAAGGGGACTTTTATCCTTTCTTAAAAACTGGCACAATCAGTGATTGAGACCAGTCAAATGGGATTGCGTTCAGTTCCCAAATTCTACCTAAGACCTCGGTTAATATCATTGCTAATACTGGACCAGCATCCTTAAAAATCTCAGGGTTAAACCTGTCAGGGCCTGCTGCTCTCCCTCGTTTCAGATTTCCTATGGTTTTTTCAACTTCGTAAAGAGACGGAGGACTTGCATTAACGTGCCATTCAGGTTGACTAGAGATCGTGGGAAACCGAAGTGTGGCTGAAGGCCAGTTGAACTGATCCCTGAAGTGTTCTGCCCATCGATCCAATCTCCTGGATTGAGAATTAATAATATGTCCATCTTTCTCTGAATGTTTCGCTAACGGTCGGGTTCCTAATACCGGATTTTTTAACGAGTCTGCTATTACCTATTGCCGCTGCCTTTTCCATCGCTTTCGCTACCCACCACTGTTGGCGATCCTTGTCAGCTTGCGCTTAAGCTGACTCCGCTCTTCACTATGTTCAGAGCCAGGTGGAATGAGTTTCCGAGCATCTATCAGTGCAATAGATGCTGCTGAGATCCAGTGTTGCTCTCTAACCTTCTGGTTTACCTTACTAGCAGATATCACTGCTGTTTCCACAGCTTTTCGGATATCATTCCATGCTGCCTCGAGGTGGGCATCACATACATAGCTGCCTAACTGTTTTCCTAGTTGTTCCTGAAATATACTCTTAGCTTGACTATCATTAAGTAGGACCCTAAGAGGTTTCCTTGCAGCGTCTTTCATACGTCCAGTAAGACGCAAGCAAATACGCGCTCGCACTAGAACATGGTCTGAATCTAAGCATGTGCTCCAGAATGAGCGACAGTCTTCTATCGAGCCCCTCCATCGGTGGCTGATAGCGATGTGATCTATTTGGGTCCAACGTTGGAACGAATTAGGGGGTCGCCATGTTAAAAGATGTTTTTCCCTATGCTTAAAGTTAGTATTTGCAAGGAACAGGCGATTATCTGAGCATAGCTGCAACATACGGTCGCCATTATCTGTTCTTTGAGCCACGACACTATAAGATCCACCCAGGTGTCTTTCCCTATTGCTTAATTTACCTACTTGAGCATTAAAGTCACCGGCCACTATTACTACATCAGAGCGCCTAGCTTTTGTGAGAAGGTCGGAAAGCTTTCTGTAAAACTCATCTTTTACATCATCTGAGCTGCAGTCAGTGGGAGAATAGGCAGAAACGACGAAGAGGCAACGATGAGTGTCCCTATCTTTCCGGATTCTTACTGTTCTGTTCAGTCGGACAGCTCACGAACGACTGTCTACTGGGATCCAGTCTAAGAGAGCTAGTTCTGCCCTAGGACTCAATGCTATACCTACGCCGGCGAGGACTCGGGAAGCAGAATCAGGGCTTCCAGATACACGAAGTGTGAATCGAGTCGGTCCTTTATTTTGGCATGGTGAGGTCAGATGAATGACGCTACTCGGATCTTGTATGCGCGTCTCTTAGACGCAGCACACATCGATGGCGCGAGATTCTAAAGTCCTAACTAAGGAAGCCTGCTGTCCTATTTGGCACAGTGTTCGGGCGTTAAAAGCTCCTACGTGTAGTTTAGAGCATGGCGCAGGTGCATGCACTCTTTGTGTTCTCCCGAATTCTAATCTTCTGAATTCTTCATATCCCTTTGTTCCTCTTTCCAAATTTATTTCACTGTATTATACTCTTTAAATAACATCTCTAAACCCTAATCTTCCAGGTCACTGCTTACACTCTTGGTACCTCTACCACTGCGGGATTTGGATCGACAACTGCATCTCTGTGTTAAGGTGGTGTGGCAACTCGAACTGATGTACGTACGTACGTACGAAGTTCTACGTTGTTACTGACTGACTAACTCAGGAGACCAGGAATAGCGTTCCACGTACTCGAATCGTTTGCCCTAGCGGTGCGATGTGATAAAGAGACGTGAGGAGGGTTAGTCATGGAGATAAGAGAGGTATTAGGTGTAGGAAGGATTTGAATGTGACCAACTTGGTCTATTGTGCTGTTACGGGTATGAGGGCTGATGTCACTTCCCGGCTGCCCACACCGTGGAAGGGTATTTCTTGGGCAACCTGAAAAGGAAATTGGATTAGTGTTGGTCTTGACGACCTGGGAGCATGACCGCAGAGCCCAGGGGACAACTGCTTGAAACCGGTCGCGCACGGTCTTTTTGTGGGAGGCTTTTGATGTGTTAGCTCCGTTCTTCAAAGGGCCTTACCGACGGAGACGGAAATCCGTGAGGTAAGGTGTGACATTTTTAGGGTCGATCTTTTCTAACCCCCTCCTTTCTTGTGAGAAGGCAGCATTGCTGCAGATGCTGGTTGTCTGGAGGAAACGCCTTACTGCTGCCACACCCCTCTACATTCAGCAGTACGACTTCGCCCTCAGACCTTGAGTTGCTGCTTTTAGTCTTACCGTTCACCAATCGACCTGCCTGGCATGGTAGAACCTACAGGAACATATGTTCAAGCCAATATAGCTCGGTTGGGTCATCACGACAGGCAAGCCCGACCACCGCGTCAAGGTAGCAGCTTCGGTCGGGCAGATGCTTAACCCTCAAGGTTATCTAGCAAGTGCTATCCCATGTTTTATTTCTTACAATTTCGCTCCTAACATACCGTTAGCCATAAGAATTTAGAAGAACGAGGCTAGTCTTCGTGTCCAGTGTTTGTACGACATTTCCACGATTATTCTTAATGTTAACATTAAATTTAGTTACCAACTCACATTTTCTTAATTGGTAATGGATTTATATTCAATTATAAAACCTTCCTAACATTCGGTTAAGGTGGAATATTTGTTCCCTTTCGAATTTTCGTTAAGCTTATTCACTTGAGCTCTTTCACTAATAATCTTACCTACGAAGCTATGATTACAATGACTTTGTTTACCGAGTTGAAACATGTTAGTTTATCCTAGATGATACCTGTAGCCGCTGTTTACGCATTCAGTTCAACGTATGCATTGTGTTGATTACCAGTTGATCTTAAAAGACCCCACTGCCAGGTTGGTTAATATTTACTAATACATAGACTCATTCTTCTTCGCTTCTACATTTTCAGAGACCCAATCATACGTGCTCAATTTTCATGGTCGCGTCACGCAAGCTTCGGTGAAGAACTTCCAAATCGTACACAGAAGTGACGGTAAGATTTCGATTACTACATTTCTAGAAAAGTCTATCTTGTCAGTCGTATTTCAAAAACTTCCTTGGTGCAATCATGCCACCAACGAAGTTGTGAAGGGATTAGTTGGTTCCATCGTATGAGTAACTTTTTGAGGGCATACATGATCATCTAAACCCATATGTCAAGGTTCAGGAGCAATATTTCTAACATATAACACGACTGTAGGAAATCGAAAAATATCCTTACATTATTGATTTTCACATGAAAATACACTGTTAGTAATAATACTGGCACGTAATCACACTTAAGTTGGAATACAATGAGTCTAACATATTTCTGACAAAGTTGAATGACTGACCTTAGGTGACAACAATATCTAATTTAGCTGACTGAGGTGACCCGACTGCTGAAGAACCGTAGGGGATAGACGCTGCTATAGAAATAGTCGGTGGGACTAAATAGTGTCTTGAGGAATAAGTAACCGAACTTACATGTCGATAATCATATTCATGTCTATTAAGCTTGACGCATTTTCAGTATGGCAGAGGGTGAGGAGAGTCAGCTTCCCCTTCTTATATGGCCACTGTCAGGGAAGTCCTACTCACTGTCTTCTCGCGGTGGGGGTGTTGTCAGAATTTGTTTGCTAGTCTTAAACCCAAATTCTACCGATTAACACTGAAGCTGGAATATCACCTCTCCATCAAAACGTATAGGTTATCTACAGGTTTGTTCTCTGTTTCGATTGCATTCGAGCTGCAGCCCAGGGTCATGAGTTTCGAACTTTGAAAACGTCGTTTATTCAATCAACGCTTTACATACCAACTAGTATCTGCTCTGCAATAGTTCTACAACATGATAATGACCATTAGGAATAAAGGATGTTTGTAGATCACTAATATTCGATCGTCGGTGTTTTCGAAGCATTCCTCTTGTATTTCGTGACCACTGAGTAAGCAATGCTTTGGCTAGAAACACGGTACTAGATAAGGATGGTGAGTCGATTGATGTGGTAGCAAATCTTAAACAGGTAGTTGGGACGTGTTACGTAAGCCCAACCACAGCCTAACTCGACGGGAGATGTCGTGTAGTGTGAGAGTAGACCGGAGCCAGAAGTGGACCAACTGAAAGCATGACATCAATCCATAAAATCATCGACGACTGGACGGTTGTAGACTACCTGGTTGGCGTCCGCCTGATTGTCGTAACTAATAGGTACAGACTTGGAATGAAATAGCTGGAAACCGTTAGCAGTAGCACACGTGCATCCATTCTTTGTCTTCCTTCAATTCCTGATTGTTCGGTTACTAATGATACTGTTACTAACACTGTCCTGAGATTCAACTTGACAACTTCATCTCCGTGTTAATGAGGTGTGGTAATTCGGACCGATGTACATGCGTACCAGGTTCCACTTTATGACAGACCGACCACAATATAATGGTTTATTTTACTATTGAGAACTTGAATTATTTTCAAATGAATCTTCCGCGTTAACCATGGGTGGATATGTTAAATTTGGTATACGAATGGACACCATTAGACCTATAGGTATATTAGCGGCTGGCACCACCACTGTTTGCACTGTCGAAAGTTATTTCTCGTCAAGCTTGTAACAAAATAAACTAGACAAGTGTTGGTATTCTCACCTTCATGGTCTCGTTTTCCGTTAACAGCATCATTGATAATTTGTTTACAAGAACTGTAATACAACTACTCAAACGATTATCTGATGACGATCCTTTAGCTCTAGATTTTTAATTCTTATTATTTTGAGAATTCATGATACAAACGTTTTAGTATGTATCATATTGCGACATCGTAACGGCCGTGACAGATTTTACGTTACTTTTGTCACCAAACTGGTTGATTTCTACCAACTTAATTCAGATGTTATCAACGTGGACCATCCAAGTACATATACTGACAAGAACTTGTTTTGTGTTATCTTTTTTAGATGAATACATACTTATGCAATTTGGACGTATCTCTGAGGACGTCTTCACAATGGATTATACGTATCCTATGTGTGCCCTACAAGCATTTGGAATCGCTTTATCTTCCTTTGATAGTAAATTAGCATGCGAATAGTTATCTTTGCATTTATTACGAATTATGACTTTACAAGCTTTATGTAGACTACTAAAAATGGAGTCTATTTTTTACCGAATTATATACTTTCCCACAACACATACCAAATTCTCAATATGAAATATTCAACCTTCAGCAACCTCAATAGCCATAAGTCCTGCCGTTATGTCACTAAAATATCCGATTTACATAGTTTGTAACAATCGATTTTACATCCACTTATATTTGTACATCATGTAAACCTAGATCTGAACACAAAGATCCTATTGTTGAAACATGGATAACTATAAAAACAACTATTCTAAAGTAATACTCAGTAGTTTAAAAATCGTTTATACATGTTTTTTAGTTATCTAACTTGATTTTCAATAACTCTTTTTACTTGATTATACACTACGTCAAATAGTATTTGCAATAGACATATGCTTGTAAAACGGTTCAGTTTACACAGCTAATTTTGAATCCTAAGTACTTTTGATGGTTAACTATCGTCTGGCAATCTCATTGACAAATTAAAAATCATTGTGTTTTTTCGGTTTACTGTGAAAAACCAAGATGTTAGTTCTAAAATGTAAAATAGCATGAAAGTACAAAAATGTATTAGGTTGACATTTCAACCCATTAGTTTGAATAGCGCTAAGAAGAATTGAAACAGAAAGCTTTAGACTTGCTCGACTATTAAGCTAAGTAGTGAAAACTGCTCGGTTTTCCTGTAGTTGCAGTGTTAATTTAGAGATATTTTCGATGTACGGCGATATGCTCCACATACAGTCTCCATTTGCTTTACTAGATGCTATAAACTAAACATTAGGAATGTTCTCAAGCTGATTTACTTCATGAGGAAGTTGATACTAATAAGGAAACTAATAAATCCCGAATTGTGATAGCTATAATGTCAACTAACTGGGCTGGAAAATGAAATTCGGATTTAAAACCTACCTCACGATAAAACTTCGGGGAGTATCACTACCCTGACAATAACTACAGTAATTTATTGGTCAGAATACTAGTTAATACAGCTACATAAGGACCGACCGATTTTCGACTACCCTAAGGACTTATGTTCGATTGCTTACAGTACACGTCGGTGGCGTTGTTTCAGACATGGCAATTTGAAATATTTGTCCAGTTCTCTGCCTCGACTATCATGGCTAGTATGTTATGCGGCGATACAAATATTACGTGGTGATAAAGTAATGTGACTAAGATTATATATATATATATATGACGTAGGCCAACCATAATTTAAACCATTAGCAAGCGGTTCGACCACTCGTATGAAGAAATATCTGAACCCACGAACTTGGAGAAAAAACGTTTAATTGCAAGATTATGACTGATTAGGCTAAAATGTAATTACACACTGCAAAGTAGATTCATTATCTCACGGATAACCAAACTGTGTGCAGGCTCATAACTCCTACGACTGAAATATCAAACGATGATGACAAAAGATGCGATGAACTTACACTGAACCGTTTCGCGATCTCAGAGAGCTTGTTCGACCCAATATCAAAGGCGTGCTTAAGGTTAGATACAGAGCCACTAGGGAAGGAGATAACGGTTGCAACAGAACCACATATAGATGCGTAAGCCAACTTGCGGAAAGGACGGCCTGTAAAGATTAGTTTGAAAATACAACTGAACTCACCTTTATATCCAAGAACCCAGCCTCCCATACTACAACTAACAACGAATCCTAGGCGAGCTAATATTACCGGTTCATCCCTTATAACTTTGGTTATAGCTAATTCCGAAAATATGTAACATGAATAACGTACATGTGGTGAAATTTCTAATGTTTGATTGATACTTTAATGCGTGTTTCTGAAGATCAGTAAAATAAAATCTGGGACGAACATTACCATCGAGTACGCTAATAGTTCTTGAGCTTCTGTTCTTAAAGGACTAACAGAATTCATAACAGTATTTGTAACTGGGTTTGGCTCTAATCTTTCAAGAACATACGTCTTACTGTCGAGACACTCAGCATAGATTGGCAACTAGGGTACATTAATGAGAAAAAAGTCTAACCTCATCCAATCTCATGATTACCGCCGAACTTCGCGAACTCAACACTATTAAAATACTTGATATAAACAGAACTATTATCTGGGAGTTGTGTATTATTTGCACCCGCTTCGTTGTAAAAAATTGCATTAAAGATTATAAATTGATTTATTCATTTTTCCCATGTTCTTTTCAATGGACTATAGGACTGTTAAAACTGAGAATATTATATTACCATTAGTTTAGTTAATCACAGTCAGAGTAACGGGATATGAAGAATGTCTGATTAGGTGTGAATGAAAAGTGAGGCAGGATTGAAATGATAATTAAGACAAATACATAAGTGGGGACATATGAAGAAATATCAACACATGTAACATTGGGTGGGGGAGGCTGGTCACTCCAACTTTATCCTACTCTGTGATTCCACTAGTCATCCCACCTGGCTGATAGAAGTTCATGTGCTTTTGTATGCTCATCTAATATTTGCTTGCAACTGTCCATCGAAAAGGCTATAGGTACGATGATTATGAAGGAGTTTCATGTAGAACAGATACATGATGCATAAACTGGGGTGTTACTTTGGTATTTTCCTATTAGTGGACAACCCTGTGAGGATTTTCAAGTGCGTCACTATGATGACGCTCTGGTAGGATTACCTTGCTGCAATGGTCGGAGCAGGTTGTGATGTCACCCTTCTGTCTTTTGTAGGTTAGTGATTTTATTTATTTAGATACACAAATATTGACAAAACTGAGCACCAAAGTAAATAGCTCACAGACAACAGTTCTCATTCTCTCATCGAATTCCCATATAATAGGGGCCCTGGAATTACAACCCCTTTGATCGTGTAACTCTGTACTATTTCTTAATTTCGAACTATCAATCAAAGTCAATTTGCGAGAAACTTCTGCATGCATTAGGATGTATTTGAGTAAAATGGAATTCGGTTACCTACCGAAATATGACAACGCAGGTTGTGCGTAACTCGGTCAGATAGCTAAAATCGTCTTAGAAGTAAATCCCTCGATGAGATGAAAATATTCAGCTATTTGTGTCTACCCTGGAGGTACTATGAGTACTGGAAAACGTGCAGACAATTGTGGAAATTTGGAAGGGTAAGGGACAAGAGATGTGAGCCAAAAACTCAGTAAGCCCGTACATAGGATGCAGTCAGTCTTCAGGAGTAAGGGTAAGGGGTCAAGTGACCCATGTTAACCATTGAGATTTATAGTACTGTGAAGATACAATATCTCTTCGAATGTATCAAAAAGTTCTGATACTACGTTTTCTGGCAGAGAATTCCAGTAATTAACAACTCCAGATTTAAACGATTTGATCTTGGTTTGGAACTATCTGAGAATATCCTTTCAGACTACCTGAAAAGAAAGATAAAACATATTAGTACAAAAACCAATGTTCAGTACATTGTAATACGTCACCCCACGATCTTATGTCGGATAACAGAAATGGGTTGAAGCGTCCCAGCCTGTTGATAAGACAAGTCAAAAAGACTGCAGTTTTGGTACCCCGTCGTTGAACCCGTCGCAGAATATCCGTTTCATATTTGGAACAAGGATTCGTCGACTGAACTCGGTATTTCAAACGAGGTCTCGCATACGTCGGGCAGAATATCCTAGATATATTTTCCTCCAAGTTATGACAGGCTTTACGTATTAACTACAAAATAAGGAAACTTTTGGCAGCGCCCATCTTGGTTACCCATGATTCTGTGCTCATTAATTGCTGTGACTTTTAAAATATTATTCATATTAATGTTAGTTGAAAGCACTTCATCTATTATCTACTTGCATAATTCGTCACAACGATCTATTTACCATTCCATGAGCATGCTAGAATTTACTGCTAACAAACACCAGTCTTCAACCTTCACATATTGTTGCAATAACAAGGTGCTGTTTACTCTCACACCTTGCCTCCTATCACTAAGAAATTCATCATTCTGATCTTGAGGTATAATCCATTACGAAGCCTTTCCGCTTTGCTCAAAGACCCGAATGAGAGATCTAATCAAAGTCTTTACTGAGGTTCATAAAAATTACATCTACCGGAATATTTTCACCTTTTGTTAAAGCCGAATCTAATTTCGGAACCAGATTAGTCAAACATGAAAGACGTGATCTAATAGCCTGTCATCCTTTAGACAGAAAAACATTCCTTCCTCATGACGTAGAACACCAGTCCAAATAATATTTTTCATTTATTTTACCAAAATAATAGTAGTAAAGTTAACCTAGTGGTAGTTATTGTTGAGAATAAAACAAACATACAAACCAGGAGTGAGTCATATTTTTCAGTCAAGTCAACTAATTTATTTACTATGAAAATCATACTACATGTTAGATTATTAACTAACTTTAGTTACTTTCGTCCAAATTTATTCACTGACCGAACATTTAAAATGATATGTAACTCATTGCGAATGTATTAATTAGTAACTGCTGAATAAAGCATCCTTCTGTAGTCTTATTTTCTTTCATGTTACCATACCAGTCTTGTTTATTTCAATAGGTAGCGAGTGGTAGTTCGTAGTCACACTAAATAGTCTCCAGACTACTCGTTCTGACAGACTCGTTTTCCTCTTGATTCTATCTTCCAGTTACACCCGCGTATCGTTATTATCTTTCTCCTGAGAACAAGTTAACTTGAGACTTTGTTACTCAAACCCTACGAACCTTAATAAGTATACGTAGCGGGGGATCAGTACTACCATAGGCTCTCTTGCTTGAACTTATTAGTTTTTGACATGAGTACCTGGTGAATAAGTCGGGAATATGAGACAGACAAACAGCTCAACTTAATATGAAGCATGTGAAAGTATGGATTCAGGATCCGAGTCACTCGACCCCTCCAAGCTCTACGCAATAGTATCAGGGACAATTTGAACTTTCCTTATTTGCCTCTTCAATGATTTCTATTCACCATCAACTGGACCTTTCATGATATGATCCTTTAAGTCACTAATATATTTAGATTCTCTGTCGAAATGACTCAATATATAACCTTCACATAAGACTAGCTTGCTCTTCTATAAGAGTTCGTTCTTTATCGAAGACTCTCGTTTTTGTAGCGCTTATAGTGGTTTTACTAATGACAATAAAATAATCTTTGTTATCTACACTAGAATTTCTAACCAGAGCCTCCTGGATCAGCAATGTCTTACACGAATAGAAAAACAAACAGCTACAAGCACTGGTTATATGCAGTATAAGAGCGGACTTGTGAGTCTTTAAACTACCTTGTCGGATTCTATCAAGCTATTCAGAAGGCAGTAAGTATAAATGAATAGCTTAGCATCTCCATTATAGAACTTAAGATATGGATAGAGATCGGGACTTAGAATTAGGATTTATGTATACATAAATGATGTAACCAAAATTCGGTGAAACCATAACTATATTTCCGGCCACCAAAATTTTTATCCGTTTTTATAATGATCCTTGCGCTATAATACAGTGAATTAGTCTAGGTTGTATTTTTGAAGCCCAGTCTCGAAAAATACAGTCTTATATACAAGGTTAGCAGATGAACGTCTGTACTAGAATTTAAATATTCACTTGATACACTGTACAACTGTGATGCTGGTCTATGGGTAAAATTATAAGATTTTGACTTGAATATCATTAGTATTTCGGAAAGCCTAGTCAGTCTAAAATCTCTAGTCTGGTCCGTCGTTGAATGATAGTTGTTTGATAAACTCATGACTTTCGGTTAAGTTATAGGAAAATAAATATTACAAGTCCAAAATACAAATTTCATTCGTAAAGTCCGAAATATCACTCAATGCATAAGTCTAATAATAATTAGAATAGCAGTTTTAATGAAAAATCGTCAATTTTTGGGTTTACTGAGCGGAATTCTCAAAGTACAAAGTAATGCAAGATAACATTCAAAAGTCCAAAATTACGAAAGAACCAATGTCAAACTTTGGTTGGAACAAATGCACTAGAAAACTAGTAAAACGGATGAAATTCTCAACAATTTCTGATAGTCCGTTAGATGTCTGGTTTCGTTTGTAACATTGCCTAAAAATAGGTAGCCGAATAAATGTTATTAAATGCTAGCATATAGAGTTGTAAAATTATAAATTAGGAGACAGGTTATTGAAAAAAGATCAAGCAATTGTAGGACAATCAAGTTTGTCATATGGACGAAAAACGAACGATAATAATGTGTTTTCAAATAACAGTGTGTCGTGTTAGTCATTGGATTTTACAGATAAGATTGAAGTGTTACAAATGATGTAGAATGTTTCCATATAGGTTGTTCAGTTAAGCTGACATGCCACAAGACACCTCTGTTATAGAAACAAGGGTATAAGTTTCGATATATTAAAATATGAATGATGTCGTTAAAACTCGAATATTCAATGTAACATTTTACATGCTTGCTGTGCATATGTATTTAAACAGGTTAAGGAAGACAAGTCACAGTTATGGAGGCGGATGAATCAAGAAGTGTATAAACGGAAGAGATTCTAAATAGTTGTAAATCTCATGATTGTGTGCAAAACAGTTTAAAGTCTAAGAACAGGGTTATCGTGGTAATAGTGATTATGGTATCACAGTCGCGGGTATGAAGTGATAGTCTTTTCCACAGTACTCTTTGTGGTACTGTAAAATCTCGCAACTCACTGCTTTTTTGTGTCTTACAGTTAGCGGTATGCATAAGTCGTTTTTCATTTGTGGGCAGAGTCATGGGTCATATATTATCTTGTAGAAAAGTATCGGTTTGTTTCTTAGCTGACGGCGCCATTAAGGTTGAACGTAGACCCACGTCCTAGAAGCTGACAAATGAGGCTTTTCTGGATTTTGTCTACTTATATCTTGTCTATGGTATCAATGTTTGAGAAGACAAATGATCAGTGTTCAAGGGGGGGTCGTATACTTTTGTGCTCATCCTCGATTACGAAGAAATTTTCGATGAAATCCATTGATCTTCTACATTTCGAAATAGTCAGTGAGACATGTTCCTCGAATTTAAGATTTCTGATGTAATTTATACCTAGGTCACCCACTGAGATTGGTGGTTGAACTCTATATTTATTTATTTAAAGTATCGGTTCATGGAGATGTCTTCCATAATACATGATTCTGAACTTGAAGTGGTTAGATGGTAACTACCGAAACTCTCTTCAGAAGGCCAGTTTGTAAAAATCACTTTGAATCTTAAACATACTGTCACTTCAGGCCGTTTCTGTATATATCATTTACATAAATGATAAACAATACTGTATCTGGAATACTTATTTGGAAAACTTCTCTTGTTATTAAAAAGTGAAAGAGAGAGCCAGTGTCTCTTATCATTTGTTTAATTCAGGTCACAGATGAACTCGACCAACAATATTATGGATTCTTGGTTCCGAAGGACTTAAGTTTGGCTGGAAGCCTTTTGTAAGAGTCGCAATTCTTAGGGGTAATAAGTTCGGTTTCGTGACCTACCATTTAGTATTTTACAGTTTCTATTCATCAGAGCTCTGGATATATGGTATTAAGTTATACCGCTACTCAGGATGAAAGTACTTGTGTAAGCAATGGTAGTTTAATGGAGTGCATGGGTTCAGCAAATTATCTGCTTATTTAGCCTTATGTTGTTAATATATTTCTTGTAAACAATTTTCAAAGGCTAAACGTTTTCCCCTTTAGTAAGCTTGAATCACAAATTGTCTTGCCCTGCCAAGGTAAAAGTATCAACGCCTTGATCGAGATCAAGACAAGTTCTCCCTTTTATGCTATTGGGTAGACAGGTCAAGAAAGTAACAACATCTTGAATGCACTGCTCCGTATTAAACATCTTTAACATATAATCTCGCCAGTAGCACGTAAGTATCACTTTTAATATCGTTGTTGAATATTGACTTTCAGTATTTATATAGTTGTGCAGATATCTTGGTGCGATTTAAGACGCCAAATTTGACATAACTTGATCTTAGTATATAACTATTTAGCTCATCTGTGTAATGCAAGAACATTTAAGACGATAAGCAAACTATATGACGTTGCGTAAAAATTATTGATATAGATGGTCAAAAAACTCATAAATATAGCTTAAAAAATAAAAATCCAAATATGTGACTTAAGGCCCTACATATTGACCATAGGGTTCTCAAACATTTGGCGGCTATTGCACGATAGTGTGCAGTGGTTTTTAAGTTTTGGCTTATGATGACTCCCCAGTCACTGTGTGTCTGAGCAAAAGAGAGCTCAGTATTATTCATCATATATGTATGAATGCCTTGATGACCAATATGCATCGAAATATCATAGATTATTTAGGCAAAGACTATATGTGTTTGCATTGACTTGCAAACTAAGAACTCAGAAAATAGCCCAACTTAAGACAGGTACAAATGGATGACCACAACTGGACGCAGTGTATTTGGAATTCGTAATAAGCACCCAGTAAAGTACAAAAGAATCACCAGTAGGTACAAATGCCACAACCGCCATAGATAAAATGGGAATCCAGATTTCTGTAATAAATTGTACATCTTCTCCTTAGGTTCATCATGTGTCTGTTCGGTTGTGCACTAGGTATCCACTATCTATAGTCTAGAATTTACTCACTAGTGTTAGAATTAACAAGGGAAGTTGGGACAGACTCACCTGAGTTCTTGTAACGTATTCGAATGTTGTAAGTAACTTGCATATGAACCATGGAATAACCAAACTTTCTAGCAGATCTTTCGTAGATGGTGAATAAACAGATCGTCGATAGCATGTAACATGAGACAAATCGATACTACCATTATCAACAATGTACCCATGAAAAGAACCATGAGACAAATATAGAATCTTACGAAAGTGAAGTGATATACTCGGAGTTGCAAATGGCGATAGTGTATAATTATTGGAGTCACTGAGCTTAATAAGATCTGAACTACAAGGCTGATCATTATTATTTGCGAAATGTACAGTAGTTTTACAAACCAACTTGATGTATCCGATCTTGTCATAACCGAGATATTAGGCATGGCGAAAAACGTATGGATCACGTGATCTATATTCACAATGGCTGTGCACATTTTTATAAAGTGCCTTGTAACTTTTCGGTTAATTGTTTCTCATGTTTTCATCTTTGATTAAGCGCCCACACGTTCAACCTTGAATATAGATAACATTAGTACAACTAAGTAGTAATAGATTTCTTGATATCCTGGAAGCTAGTTTTATGTGGTGCATCATAACTAGTACATGCAGTTTTAACATGTTGAAATGAACACCTCAGTATTTGTATGTTAATTCATACAATTAATCGATCACTGAGCTGGGCGTGAAGTCGACCACCAAAACTATACTTGTTTGCTTTTTCTGCAACTCGACGAGAACCTTTAAGTTATTCTAACAAATTGCTTCATGATGTTCCTCTGTTTCATGATATTCGAAATTTGTGTACTTTACCAAAATGTTATCATCATGCTAAGCCACAAAAGGCATTGTTGTGCAAAATACAAACGAACTGGTAACAACGGCGCGTACAGGCAATAGAAACATATAAGGAACATATGCACGAGGGCTATAAGAGAAGACAGGCTTCAATATCAGATTAAGCTTATGGATGAATTTGTCTCTAATCGGAAATCCTTATTCCGTTATGTAGCCTCTCTTTGTCAAGCCAAAACTAGAGTTTCCCAACTGCTAGGTCCTAGTGGTCCGACCAATAACGACGGCGACGCCGCTAACCTTTTGGCTGGACCATACTCGCGGACATTTCAAACGACCCAAATCAACTATACTGACGACAGCTTCATCTGCAACTGCACAGGATTTTCCCTAGTGAACCTCAGCGCTGACTTGATGTTCCGAAAACTGCAGCGCCCAAATAAGACACTTCTCCTGGCTCAGATATGGTTCATTCTGTTATATTAAGTGAAGCAGTCTCAATCCTGGCAACACCGCTTAGCGTGATGTTCACACACTTGCTAAGCCGAGGCAAAGTACTAAAGATTTGGAGGCTGGTTCACGTCACACCAATTTTCAAAGGAGGTCGACGCAGCGAACGTTCAAGTTATCGGCCGGTGGCTCTTCTCTCTGTGCCTTCAAAAATCATAGAGTCCCTGATATGCGATGGCATACAAGACTAGTTGCTGTCCTTAAATTTCTCACTCACAGCATGGTTTCAGGAACGGTTACTCTTGTATAACCAACCTGCTGACTGCAGTGGACAGATGGACTAGCATCCTCGATCGCAAGGAGAAAATTGATATAATTTACTTTTATTTCTCAAAAGCTTTTGATCGGGTTAACCATATATGTCTTATCAATAAGCTCAAACGATTGGGTATCAGACCACCTCTAATTGATTGGCTCATTTTATATCTGAAAAATCGACATTTTAAGGTCAGGGGTCCCCCAGGGCTCAATACTAGGACCTCCTCTCTTCTTGATTCATATAAATATCCTCCTCAACAGGTAAAATCAGACATTACTTTTTGCTGATGACCTGAAACTTTGGAGAGATACGCAACCAAGACTATATACAGGAACTTCAGGGGTATCTGACTCGACTTCAAAGTTGGGCAGACGATAACGGAGTAATCTTTAGCACTTCGAAGTGTGAAGTAGTCCATCTCCGATACGCCGTAGACTACAGTTACAACTTAAGAAACTCCTCTCTAGTAGTATCTCAAGTCGAAAAAGATTTAGGAGTCCTGATGCCCTACGATTTGAAGTCTTACGCTATCTGTGACGAAAATGCCTTTCGAGAAAACCTCGCACTGGTAACACTGAAGCGCATTCTTGGCCAGTTTAACGGTAAAACTTTCCACATAATCTTCGACAGTTTTATTCATCCCCATTTAAAATAAGGAAACACAGTATTTCCTTCTTCAGTCCAAAATGATAAGGACACTAGAGCGTATCCAGCGGCGAGCCACGAAATCAGTTCGAGGACTCAAATTTAAACCTTACAAAGAGCGCCTCCAATCACTTAACCTTTACCCACTAGAGCATAGGCGTCTTAGAGATGACCTTCTGATGGCTTACAGTATCCTTAACACTTCTGGACATCCCCTTAAACACCTACTTCAGCTTAGTCTCAATACAAACCTAAGGGGTAACATCCAGAAATTGGAGATACAACATAGCAGAACGGACTGTAGACACAACTTCTACTCCTTAAGAGTTGTCAAGTGTTGGAATTCGCTGCCGACTGAACTAGTCCAAACGACTTCTCAGGAGTCCTTCAAGAGGAAACTTGACCTATTCTTATGGACTCAGGATAACATATTATTATGAGTTACCAATCTCTTTTCTAATATATTATAGGTTATATGTCTAGGTTCCTGCCTGGAGGTATTGGTGATCCACTGCCACTAGACGCGGAAGCCTGTTAAGCTAAAGCTTCTTCTATTCCGTTCATAAGCATTTGAACCATTTAATCATTTTTGTTCACATTTGATACTTAAAACCTTTCAATGCAGTTGTCGAAAGTATCAGAATATGAATGTATAAGGTAATCCAAGGCAGCAAGAACTAGATGAACACAAATGAACGCATTATATTTGGAACTCTTACTAAGTGAGATTGATGAACTTGATATTGTTAGAACCTCAGTTTTCTGTATATTTGCCAAATATGCTGAAAAAGACAAGAAATAAAGTCACCTGGCGAAAACATTTTTAAATTTTGTTGAAATGGTTTTGAGAAGCTAAGGTGACGGCAGCCATTTTATATCTTTATAGCGCTAGTTTATTTGTAGGCTGTCTGACTTTCTTAGTACATGAAAAGTTGGACGTACTGGATATTTTCAAAACAGAAAAGTTTTCATCGATGCATCATATGCAAAAATCATTTATTTATCTGCATTTCGTAGCCCTTTAGTGTTTAGTTATTTCTTCTCATGGCCAATAGTAATGGGTACCGGAAATAAACTTAAATTCGGTTCGCACTTTTGCGGATAATCAGAATAAAGTGGGTATTTTCATTTTCGCATCTTTGAAGGCAATGAAGGTTGATTTGATACGCCTTGTTTATTTATTCGCTGGTGTTTTAGTGTAACTGCAGTATTCTATCCTTCATTGTGTCGAAATTCTGTAATTTATGTAGTCCATCAAGTGCTGACGCCATTTATTTTTAATAAGTTTTGGTTTATTGGTTTTTGTTACTACGACTCAAGTGTATTCATTCTGATTGCTCTACGTTTTTACTCTATTAGAAGGTAATCTGTTTTAAGTATTCTCTTCTAGATATGAGAGAAGAGCTTGTGTTTTTTCAACCAGAAATCACTGATGATGCCACCTATAATTTTTCAAATTTCCACATACATATTCATGAGTTTACGTATGATGGTGTGGAGAAAAAGAGAAGAAAGTGGTTACGTTTCCTATTCTGCATAATATAATCGATATCCCCATTCCGTTAACGGATCTACCTAATACTAAGTGTCAAATCTGGGAAATTATGTTGAATTATGATCTACTGGGTTATTAGTATTATTATAATCATAGACCTAATCCTAAAATTGTAGGTATTTCATGATGTGATAGTCTAATCCGTAAGATCTTACGTGAAAGTCACATCACTTTCTATACTGACTCATTGTATCGCAACGATTAACAACATGATATCTGGAGTCTTTAAAGAACAAACTTAGGCTAAAGACATAGTAGAATATTTGATGTGAGTAAAGACAAGTTACACATAATGACCACGCCTGCAAGGCTGAGCCATGCCATCCGACTGAATGGAATTGAACGCTCTCGTGTTCTCCATTGGCAACCTTCCCTTCTTGTCCATTGTTGAATATAAACGTTTTCAGTAATTATATGCTCGATTTCAAAGGTCGTGTGGTTGGAGTCCAATGCCACTACAGATTCACCCGCACTGTTAATTTGTTCAGGGAAGTGAGCTTTAGAAATACAAGTCTCCTAGAATCAGGATATAAATGTATCCGAGTCGAGGTGAGTGAGATAATCTTCAGCACCGATTGTCCTACTCTGTGTCAGCTCATGACCATCACGTGAGATCAGTGTTATAAGGGCTAAATGAATATAAAATGAACATACATCAAATTATGTGTTTTAGCAGTGCACACACTAGAATTTCTGGAACACAAAATAAGTCCAGAAGGGATCTCAGAGAAGGCGGAAGCCTTCAGGCACTGTCATCATTTAATAATTTTCCAGACTTGCTCAACCTTCTTCGTCTATGGTTTTAGTCAGTATCACAGTTGGTGCACTTCATTAAAGTCGCGTTGCAAATGTTCAACTGATGGTCAAAGATAGGTCCATTGAAGGTGAGAGCTTCTTGAAATCGCAACCTTATGTCCTTTTGGAATATCTAAGTCGCGTTTGTAACGGTATCAAAAATCATTACGTGTGACTTTACTAATGCAAGTTTGTTTTCCTAATTGCACGGCAAGAAAAAGTGAACGTACTAGAAAAAGAAAATCAAGACTTGCGCAAGCTAAAACTGCCGGATAATGAGTAAAACTATTTTGTAATAGACTTCCTTTTTTGTGCTAAAACCGCGTAATTCAATTTTAAAATATATATCTCTGTTGTGCTCGTATGCCGTGTTTTTAATTGAGTGGCATCTGCAGGCCCTGACTGTTGTGTTGTGTTTCAGATCGCTCCCGCTTGCAAGTACACGCTAATAGTACGTTTTACACGTTGCGAATATGCAACTGTTGGTCAAGGATAGGTCCATTGAAGGTGGGAGCTTCTAAAAATCACAACCTTATATCCTTTTGGAATATCTAATGCTTTAAGGATGGTGCAGAACGAAGTCACCCGTTCCATATCTCAAGGGGGCTGAAAGAGGGAGCAAGTAAAAGAAAGGACGAGAGGCAGAGTAGCCAATATTCATGAAGGAATGTTTGAAGTATGATCATTCAGTCTAATTTTCTTTTATTAAGGTATTTGTTAAACAAAAGCATTTTATTAAGTTAAAGAAAATAATTATAAACAATTTAGGACCGGACA